ATGGTCTTGATTGAAAGACCGTGAACTGGGCAATCCGTCCGTGAACCTCAGCTAAAACAGAGCACTTCTGAAAAAAATTTGACTCGACCTAATCCACCGTGCCTTCTATCGATCACGACACAACCTCAAAATGCAAAACCACAAAACGTGGCACGGGGATACCACTCGATCACTAGAACTCTTTACTCGACACACAAAAAACGAAAATAAGGAAAAGAAAACAAACCTACGTTCGGTTGCCTCCCAACAAGCGCTAAGGTAACGTCACTAGCTTGACGTTGTGGATCTATCATGTTTTGGAATATGATGCCACCGAGAGTGGATCCGTCACGTTCTCGGGGTGAGGCATGTAGCCTCCCAACTTAAGCTCCATGGGGTGGCCTTCTTGGCCGACGAACTTAGCTTTGCCCTTCACCTTCCTTCGGGCCAAAGCTTGCTTTATCTTTTCCCTCCAAGCTTTCTTCTTCATTTCTTTGGGCTTAGTGCCCTCCTTAACTTCTTGCTTAATATCTCCACAAGCAAAACAAGTAATAGTGGGGTTCGCCTTGAGAGCCTCTCCCCCACTCACATTCAAGTCATCCGATACCAACTCCTTCACATCCTCACTTCTAACCTTAGGTTCAATTTCAAGAGTGATCCTCTCCTCGCCATCCTTCAGAATCAAGGACCCCTCATTAACATCAATTAACGCCTTAGCGGTGGCAAAGAAGGGACGTCCTAGTATGAATGGCATGTCTGAGTCCTCACTTATATCAAGGATCACAAAATCTGTCGGATAGCAAAACTTGCCTACTCGTACTAACATGTCCTCCACAATGCCCCTTGGGTTAATGACTGAGCGGTCGACTAACGTGACACTAAGCTTAGTGGTCTTGAGTTCACCTAGTTCTAACCTTTTGAAAAGCTTATAGGGCATCACATTGACACTCGCTCCTAAATCGGCCAAGGCATTTTTTATGTGATGTCTACCAATGCTAAGAGGGATAGTGAAGCTACCTGGGTCAGGTTGCTTCTTGGGCAACCGGTTGAGGATGAAATCCAAGCACTCCTCGCCTAGAGTCACGTTGGCGAGGTCTTCAAACTTTGATTTCTTGGTGAGGAATCCTTTGAGGTACTTTGCATACCTTGGTATGTGAGCCATAGCTTCAAGGAAGGGGATGTTGAGGTGCAAATTTCGGAGCATCTCCATGAAGCCTCCACATTCCGCTTCCAACCTCTCCTTGTACACCCTTGTGGGGAAAGGAAGAGGTGGCTTGTACGCAGCCACTGGAGATGGCGTCGGCGATGCCTTCCTTGCCACTTCTTTCTCTCCCCTCGCGGGCCCTTCATCTATATCCTTAGGGTTGGAGTCTTCATTCTCAATCACTCCCTTCGAAACAACTCCTAGATCCACCTTCCCACTTCTCAATTGAATCGCATTCACCCCAGCATGATCCTTGGGGTTTGTGACGGTTTGAGAAGTTAGAGCTCCCTTTGGTCTCTCGGTCAGGATCCCCGCAAGATAGCTGCTTTTCACCTCCAAAATTTGAAGGCTTGCTTGATGGCTTCGGAGTACCGCCTCAATCGAGGTAAACTTGGTAGTCTCCACATCCATAAATTGCTCAATCTTCTCGAACTTCTGAGCACTCGTGCTCACAAAGGTATTCATTAGGTCTTCAAGTTTGGACAACTTGTCGGGTTGTTGTTATTGTTGAAACCATTGACCACCTTGTGCTTGGTAAGGTTGTTGGAAGCTCAATTTTGGAATTGAGGCCTTTGTTGGATGAAAGTAGGCCGAGGTTGATAATTGCCCGTAGGGCCTTGGAAACCAGGGGGTTTTGGATTAGTCGGGGATGACAAAGCAAAGTTAGGATGATTTCTCCACCCGTGATTGTATGTGTTGCTATAAGGGTTGTTCCCTCTAACATTGGCAATGAAAATCACTTGCCCCTCGGGGGTACTCGAATCCTTCATCACTTGGCAATCCGCAATTTCGTGATTGGTGCTAGAACACCAATCACAAACATCACCGCTCTCTTCCCTTGCTTCTTGTCCTCAAGGATCACTTCAATCAACTTGTCAAGTTTTGCTTCAAGTGGAGCACTTGCTCCCACACTTCTTACTCCTCTTTCATTGCTTCTCTTCCCACTTCTCGTCAAACCCCAATCGTATCCTTTAAGAGCCATATCTTCGAGCAACTGGGTCACTTGAGGTGGGGTCATGTTCATCAACCTCCCTTGGCAAAGAGAGTCAATGAGGATCTTATCTTCATGTATAAGACAACCATAGAAAGTTTCTATCCGAAATTGCTCCTCGAATCCATGGTGATGCCATTGAAGGAAATAGTCGGAGAATCTTTCCCAAGCATCTCTCAAGGTCTCATCTTCGTCTTGCTCAAAATGGGTGATATTCTTTCTCTCCTCACTCGTCTTCGAAGGAGGGCAATAACGGGTCATAAAATTGTTGAGAAGATCATCCCACGAGGTAATTGAGCGAGGCGGCCGGTTGTTGAGCCATCAGAGTGCCTTCCCCGAAAGTGAGTGCACTCCAAACTCCCCGCGAGCTCAAGCAAACCTTTGTACATGCTCCCTCGGCGATTCGCTTGTGTGCCCATGGAACAAAGCATTGTTTTGAATCATTTCACGAGGGTCAGCTTGATCTCGAAGTTGTCGGCCTCCACGGGTGGGTGTAAGATAGGCGATTAAATGTTCGCCGAACGTGGGGCCATGTAATAACCCATTGTCCTTGGGGCTTCCTCCTCAACCGCCTCATCATTGTGGTTGTGAACTTGGGCGACTCCCTCTCTTTGTTGGTTCTCCGCCATCTCAACTCCAATATCAATTCACCTTCAACTCCTTCAACTTCTACTCCACTAACTCCGGGACAAAGTTGTTGTCCCTCTCCTGAGCTAGGAGTCTGAGAGTCCTGTTGATGTTCTCGTCAAGTGGTACCAAAGGCGCTGAATTTCTCCGGGTCATGCACTTCCCTGCACACACTTAGAGAACAACACCACGTCTAGCACAAGCAAAACACTCACACAATCAAAGGTGAAAAATAAAAGCTAGATTAACACCAACAACTTTTTCAAGATAACGGACCGAAGCTCCCTGACAACGGCGCCAAATACTTGACTAGTCCCGAATATCACAACAAAATTTCACCTAAGGTCGAAGTATAAACCTTAGATTGGTGCAATACAGGGCAAGTATGTTTAAATATCAACCCGAACCAGTCCATGTACCCCTACTTCAATTGTTTGAAACATTATCTAGCGGATTGGTTTTTGGTTGAAAACTATAAGGATTAAATTAAAACAAAGCAAATAAAAATGGTTTGAAAGCTCTAGATGAGAAGGATCACTCGGGTGTCGCTTCCCCCTAACTACTAACATAGCTCACGGACTCGAATAGGTCGTTATGGGCGAGGCAATCGTGAACCGCTACGAAGTGCAACTATGGTCGAAGACCACACTCTCAATAGCCAAACCAAGGGATACATTATAGGCTACTAGAGTAGTCCTCTTGGTTAAGGCAATTGAGGGTTGACTTACCTTATCCCTCAAACCGATGGTTGGACGGCTTAATCACGATAAACATAGTCATTTAATTCAAAATAGAGGTTTGCCCTACTTTAACCTAGTTAGGCGGCTTTAAAAGCCCAAGTAATCCCTACTCAATTGCGCCTCTTTGGAAAGGGGGGTTTCCCCTCTAACCTAGGTTAGAATGGCTAATTAGATTGCTAAGCACAAACATGCAAATCATCATGAAAATACCTCAATCATTAAATTCAACAACACTCATAAACAATCATTCAATTCACACAACAACTACATGGCAAATAGTTAGGGTTTCACAACACCCAAGTGAAAAAGGAAACTACTCCATGCTAGAAAGGGGAAGAACACAAAAGAAAGAAGTAGAAACCATCATGGTGGTCCTCCACTCTCATTTGATCTTGTGTTGATCTTCTCTTGGAGAGATTCTTCCAAATTCACCACTTGGAGCAACCCCTAGCCTCCTTTCTTCTTTGGTTTGTCCTTTCTCTCTCTAAAATATGAAGAAGAAGGTCTTTCTCACACTTGAGCTCTCCCTCTCTTTTCCTTTAAGCTCACGTTATATACTGGGATCGGGCTAAGTTCACGGCTTCAGTTCACGGACGTGAACTCGGAGTGTTGTGTCGAAAAGCACCGCTTCACTTACTTGAGTTCACAGTTTGCAATCAAAGTTCATGGTCTTGGTGACCGTGAACTCAATCGGAGTGTAACCTCTGAAATCGCTCTGTACGCTTCGCGGTTCACGGTTTATGGCTCCAGTTCACGACATTAGGAGCCCGTGAACTCCAATGTGAAATCGTGAACATGGCCTAAATCACTCTCTTTGCCCAGTCTTTGCTCCTTTTCTTCCAACTTTCGACTTCGGAGATGGTTTCACCTGTTAGATCGTGATACACACTGAAACACGAGAAACCTAGCGTAAACCCACCATTTTAGAAGCACAAATGCCACAAACGCTCGAGAGAAACATGGATAAAATGTGTACAATTAAGCCCGAATTAGGCATGTTAGCGTTATAATCGAAAATTTACGTGTTAAAGTTTAGAAATAATAATGTTGGATATACGAGGTGACTATACCTATGGGTACCCAAAACCCACAGACAAACTCTCCCCATTCCTAATCACATGCCAAACAAAACAAATAGATGTTGAGACTTTTTTTGAAATTTATCGTGAGAGAGCAGTTTAATCTGTTAAAAACCCGAAAATAAAGAAAGACGAGGCAGTTTAACAATTTCGCCTTGTACGCTAAGAGCCACCAAATGTAGGATTACCCTAAATTCAAAAACCCTAATTAATTAGTAATTAATCGAAAACTTAAAAAGTGAGAGAAACTGAAAGAGACAGCTGGAAAACGGAGAGAGGGAGGGGGAGAGGGGCAGTGGGGCAGGTTATGTGGAAAAAGGGAAATGGAAGCAAAAAAGCGGATGAGTATAAATAAGAATGAGACCGTCGCCTTTCCCCCACCTCCTCTCTCTCTCTCTCTCTCTCACTCACTAATTATCATCTCCACCTCCGCCGCATGGACCCACAGCCCCAGCCTGCTGCTCAACCGCCTACTCCTCTCTCCGCCGCTCCCATCCCACCCTCTTCCGCCGCCCCACCTACCTCCGCCGTCTACCCCGATTCCGTCGATTCTTCGCCTCGCTCCCGCACCACAGAGTCCTTCTACGATGAACCGCCCCCTATTTCTTCCAAGCTCCGCCTCATGTGCTCCTACGGCGGCCGAATCGTCCCCCGTCCCCACGACAAGTCCCTCTGCTACGTCGGCGGCGACACCCGCATCGTCGTCGTCGACCGCCAAGCCTCGCTGTCCGGTCTCTCCGCTAAGCTCTCCACCACTCTCTTGAACGGCCGCCCCTTCACGCTCAAGTACCAGTTGCCCTGCGAGGACTTGGATTCCCTCATCTCCCTCACCACCGACGAGGATTTGGATAACATGATCGATGAGTACGACCGCACCTCCACCGGCGCCCCCTCCAATTCCTCCAAACCCTCGCGGCTGCGGTTGTTCCTCTTCCCCGTGAAGCCCGATTCCTCGCAGTCAATTGGCCCGATTCTGGAGAACACCGCCGCCAAGGATGAGTGGTTTTTGAATGCCTTGAACGGGGCCACGCCTGGGATGTTGAATAGAGGGTTTTCCGATTCTGCTTCTGTGAATTGCTTGCTGGGACTAGACGATCATCCCGATTTGCCTGGTTCTGGAGGCGGCGATGGTGGAGGAGCCAGTGCCGCCGGCGTCGGGGTCAGAGATGGACAAGGATTGAACAAAAACGGGAAGCAAGGGCAAGATGTTCACTCGGTGCCCGATTCTCCCATGCTGGAAACCACATCTTCGTTTGGGTCGACTTCTTCCTCGCCTTCCCTCGCGAATTTGCCTCCGATTAGAGTGAAGGTCGACGACGGGGTTAGAGCTGTTGCTCAGGATCAGATCGAGGAGCAGTTTGCTCATGTTAGTGTGGGCAGTGGCCGCGGTGGTGGACACAACCCAGACGAGGGTTTTGTGATCATCTCATCCCCACCGCCGATACCAGTTTCGATCACTGTATCTGGAGTCCCTGATGGCTCTCCGGTGATTGGTGGTGGTCGGTATCAGAATCGAATCATCTCTGATGATGAGAGATCTGATCATGGTGTACCAGTGGAGTACAGAAGGCCTCCGCCGCCACAATCTCAGCCGCAGATGCCTCCTCCGCTGCAGACACAACAACAAAGATCAACTGGTGTTGGTAGTGGCGGCGGGGCCAGTGATCTGCCTTCTCCAGATTCCATGTCAAGGTATTCAGCTTATTCTTGGAATTTTAGAATTGGATACATTTGCAGTCATTCGTTTGGGGAGAATGTGGGATAAGAATCTGAATTTTGGTGTGGTCGGTGTTTGTTTGCAGTGATAGTAGCTTTAGCAATGCCGTGAATAGACAACAAAAGCCTGGAATTAATCAAGAACAACAGGCAATGCAAATTCCACCTGGAGCAAACAGGGTGGTTGCTTCTAACCTTGTGGATCCAAACCCCACCCATGTTCAGGTTCAACAGCAGCTTCAAGATTCCGGTAATCTATTGCTAGCACAATTCGAGCAACAACAACAACACCAGCAGCAGCAACAGCAGCTGCAGTATACACACGCTGGTGGTCATTACATTCAGCATCACCCTTCTGGGGCTGTACAAATTCCAGCTTACTACCCTGTCTACACACAGCAGCAGCAGCAACAACATATCCATCAAATGGATCATCATCAGCAATACTCAGTGTACTATGTGCAAGCAAGACAGCCTCAAGCCTATAATATGCCGCCAGTGCAACAACCACAATCTGGTGTTGGTGAACCTGCAAACAATGGCGAAAGGTTACAAATGCCTACCACTATACCTTCAATGTTGCATCAGCCTGCCGCAGCAGGTTACAACCCTATGAGAAATGCTCCTGTCCCCAAGCCTGAAATGATGTACAGAACAACAAATGCCGGGACGCCACAGCTTATTGCATTGTCTTCTTCTGGGCAGCAGCAATATGTTGGGTACTCACAAGTTCATCATCATCCATCTCAGTCTATGGCCCCTGCGGCTGCTTCGGCTGGAAATCCAAGTTATGGGTATGAGTTTGTTAATCCTGGACCAGGTCATGGTCCGATATATTACACTCAGCCTATGGCGCCATCAATGCAACCTTCCCCGTACCAAACCATGACAACCGGTGGTGGAGGTGTTGTGTTGCCAGAAGGGTCTGCTCAGATTCCAGCCGACCCAACCAAGCAGCAGCAGGTCAAGACTTCGCAACCATTATAGTCGAGGGGGAGAAGAAGAAACTAGGAGGAAAAGGGAAGTCTATCCTGAGAGAGAATAGAACAGAAGGAAGTGGAGAAGGGAACAATTTTGAAGCAAATGGTATTGTGAGATTATAAGTTTGTGGTGGTGTTAGAGTCTTGTTTTATTCTTGGGAATTTTTTTATAATTAATATTGGGGTTTTGGTGAGATAAATGTAGTTTTGTGGTAGATAATAAGGAACTTATGGTCTGGTGGTGTCTATTTGTATTGTCATATTATTGTTACAGCTACTGCTGTTATAGAAAGATGAAAGTGGTCAGGTCTGGGTATATTATTATACTGTAAAACCTTCAATACTGGAACATCTAGCTGGTTGATTTGATTCGGCATCTCGGATTGGGTTCTTAATTCAGGTAAGCAGTAGTGTTTTGCTGTCTATTCTTTCTGTGGTACTAACCGTTGCATTTGATTGGTGTTGTAGATACGTGGATACTGAAAACGGCTCATCCAGCCTAGGACAATTTTAGTTGCATTTTCCAGCGGCGGCAGCAGCAGCAGCTTTCCTATCAGTGGTAGATGTAAAAATGTGTAATTATGATGACTTTCCTTTGCCTAACTTTCTTTTCTTTGTAGGAAAGATATAGTTTGCGTGAAGTTGCAATCTATTTGATACATTTGTTTCAATGATTCATCATATCATTACCCACGAAACTCAAACCTTTCCTTTTGTTCTTATTTTTCTCAGAGATACCATACTGGCTACATGATTTAATAGGCATGTGTAACTGGGAAGAATACTACACACATTGACTGGTTTGTCTCTTGTGAAACGATGTGTGTGGTGATCAACATCAGCATATTTGGAGTATGGTTGTGTTGGGATTTTTTCCAATAATAGCACGTTTAAAAAAAATTACAAAACTAGCACACCTGAAAAAATTTACACTAATAACACTATTTTTAATAGATCGCACCTCCAAGGTGCGTTTTATTCCACGTCAGCACTCAAATCGCACTAGGAAGATGCGGTGTGTTTTTTCTGCTGAACGTGAAGAGATGACAGGGAAACCGCACGTGAGTGTTACTGTTAGACAGACAACCACTGGGTCTACCTCTCGCTAGAGCACCTAATTACAACTAATGAGATGATCAAATAAAATAAATAGGGACAGAGGTATCAAGAAAATATGAATAGGAAGACTCATTCTTCAAGACCGTTGGATGAATGTGCAATCGGACGGCGGACCGCAGGCCAGCAGAGCGATCCGCGCCATGGATTAGGGACCGCACCTGCAAGGAGCGGTCAGCGCTTCGTGAATCGCAAACCGCATCTGAAGGGAGCGGTTTCTGCGAGGGGAAAATTACCAGACCGCCTTTGAAGGGTGCGGTCTGATAAATATAAATACACCCCCTTCCCCTCTCATTTCTTCACACCACAACCCATTCTTCCTTCTCTGTCTAGAATTTATCTCTCTAAACCCTCCCCTCCCAAAAGCCTAGGAAATAGTGGTCTGTTGGTTGCGGCTAAGTTCGATCTGCCATCAGAAAACATTTCTTTGGTTTTTTCCTCAAAACCCGCCGAGCCGAGACGAATCTCTGTCCGAATTTCCCGAAAAAATGATCGAGTGGTGGCAAGGAGAGTGAGTTTATGTTGATGAATTTCTAGCGGTACGTACTCATTAATTTTTGTTGTTGTTATAAGCTTTTTAATTAATCTATGTACTAACCTCGTCGTTATTTTCTCGTAGGTTGGGGACGACGTGGATATATACAACCAACAGTATTATCTCGAGCAAGGACCGTTGGATCCAACCGACTTGTACGACCAACCCAACCATCGGTCAAGAGATGTTTGGAACGATCACCCGGTACATACAATTCTTCATCATTTGTCTTTCTTTTATTTTGCTAATGTATTTACTGGCATATAAAATAAACTTATGTTGAATTTTTAATCGTGTTGGTTGTTTTCAATAATTTAATCGAATACATAACGCCACTTACTTAGACTCTTTATAAAGAGATGCACGTCTAAGGAAATGGGATTTTAAGCGATTATCAAATCCTCCCATTCCATGGGAAAATCGGGTATTAAGAGATCCTCAGATCCCCCCCTTTTTTTTTGTCAAAAAGACTGTGTTTCTAAGAAGATGTATACCTCTTTTAAGAGTCTAACGAGTGTTGCTCTGTATTCGATTAAATTATTTAAAACAACCAATACGATTAAATTATTTACCAAACAACCAATATGATTTATTTTTATGTGTACAAAATGAATTTTATTGATTTCAAATATTTGAATATGTATGTTTCTTTTTAAATGATTATTCATTTACAATGTTATTTATGTTAATTAATTTAGTATGTTTGTTTTACGATAATAGGTATGTATCTCTTTAAATTATTATTCATTTAGAATGATATTATGTTAATTAATTTAGGATGCTTGTTTTATGGTAATATGTATGTATCTCTGTAAATTATTATTGATTTAGAATGTTATTATGTTAATTATATGAAATGTATTTTTATGATAATAAAATTCTGCTCGAAGTTAAATAATTTAATTTAATTCTTCTTCTGATTCTCTTCTGATGGCCTCCTCGGCTGTGGCGGCAGCTGTTTCGCCTCAGGGGATCCCTATGAAGCCCTGGACGGATTTGTTCCGTATCTCTGAGGCCAATCGGCTCACCTACATCAAACCCGAAGTCTACAAAGGAGGTCTTCGGATGCCTCAGAGCGTCCGTGAGGAAGGCTCAATTCGTTGGAAACACAGTCTAGTGGGGCAGTTTTTGCATCAGATGCCAGAGCTCCCGATTCTTCGCCACTGGGCAAACAAAATCTGGAGGCGCGATGGGCTCGTTCGTGTCTCTCTGTTGGGTGATCGTCTGCTGTTAATACAGCTACCTTCGCAAGCAACGTGTGACTGGATTTTGGAAAGTGGTCCGTGGTTTTATCTGGATAATCTTCTCTATCTACGTCCTTGGGCACCAGGGATTGATGTGGAAGATATGGGACGTAAGGCTCTTCCAATTTGGGTTCGTTTCTCTAATCTTCCTCTCGAATATGTTAACTATTAGGGACTTAGCAGGGTGGCGAGCTGGCTAGGTGTACAACTGGGGGTTGATCAGACTACTCGAATGGGGAGGCGATTAGGGTATGCTAAGATTTTGGTTGAGTTGCGGGCTGACGGAGATTTTCCAGATGATGTTCTTATCTGGCTTGATGATGACACGTCCATTAAAGTGGGAGTGACTTATGCTCATCTTCCACCTGTGTGTAAACCTTGTGGGCTATTTGGTGTTTGTGAGTGTCATACACAGGTTTGGGTTAGAAAGGAAATGGAGACAGGGCAGAATAATAAGGTTTTGCAGGTAAATCAAGTTGATATGCAGGTGGATCAGGGGGGTAATGAACTGAACAAAGGAAAGGCAGTGGAATCATCTCCCCTGCTGCTCCTGTGGATACTCAGGGGTCAGGGGGTTTCATGATTGGGACCAATATGGTGGGAGTGGGTGAATGTTCGACTGGAATTTCACATGTGGCTAACTCACGAATGCAGGGGATTAATCTTGAAAACAGTTTTGCTGTAGTTGAGTGTGCTTCACCTGCTTTACCATCTGAGGCGGAATTTCAGCTTGTGGTTAATGGAGCCAAACCACGTATTTGGTCACCACATCCTAGCCCAAACAGTGTACTTCCAGTATCTCACTCTTATGACTTGTTGCGAACTTTGGATGAAGGTGCAGGGGTCACTCTGCAAGCAGCCCCCAGAAAAGGTGGAAAGAAGGGAGGGTCCCTGCCCTCTTCTTCCAAATGATTTTTCTATTCCAGAATGTAAGAGGGTTTAATAAACCCTCTAAGCGTAGGGACTTGTATTCGGTCCTTAGGCAGAATAAAGTAGATGTAGTTGCTGTATTGGAAACCAGGGTAAAGAAAGATAAAGCAGTTGAGGTGTCTGCAGGATTCTGTTCTGGATGGAAGAAGCACTTGAACTATGTTGATAGTCGGTTGGGACGTATTTGGTTATTTTGGAATCCTGATAGTATTGAATTAAGCATCTTAGTTCCTAGCAAGAGTTTTGTCCATTGTTTGGTAAAGTCGGTGGAGGGTGAGAGTTGTTTTCTCACTGCTGTTTATGGGTCTAATGATGAAGTGGAAAGGAGAATCACATACTCAGAGTTGGCTAGGATCAAGGTTTGTAGTCAGCCGTGGATAGTTGGGGGAGACTTTAATGCTGTGTTAAAGCCTGAGGAAGTTTCCAAACGATGTGATACCACTAGTTGTATGGGAGATTTTGGGAACTGGATTGATTCAATGGAACTGGTTGATCACAGGGTAGTAGGCCCTCAGTTTATGTGAACTAATAATCAAGCTGGCAGTCCTCTCGCCAAGAAGTTGGACCGTGCACTAGTGAATGAAAAGTGGTTCGATTCATTCCCAGATTGTCGTATTGATGTTTTGGCTGTACATTTCTCAGATCATTGTGGAATTTTGGTGGCTTCGAAGCCAACTCAGAAGTCCCTTCCCAAACCTTTTAAGTATTTTGATTTTTGGGCAGATAGTCCTGATTTTCTGCCTCTTGTTAGCAAGGCTTGGGAGACACAGATTGAGGCACATCCTCTACAACGAGTTCAACTAAAACTAACTGCGATGAAGAGAGCTTTGAAGCAACTGAATAAAGAGAAGTTTGGGGACATTAGTGCAAAGGTGAAGGAGGCAGAAAGAGCACTAATCTGTGCAAAAGCTGTTGCTTTTGCATCTCCATCTGAGGAGTCTTTTGCTCTGGTATCAGAACTGCAAGTTCAGTTGAAGAGTTCAGGAAATCTGAGGAGTGTCTTTATAAGCAGAAATCGAGGGTTAATGTTTTGGAGTTGGGGGGATAAAAGCACAAGGTTTTTCCATCAAGCAGTTAAAATACATACAGCAAAGAGGGCAATTCGTAAGCTGGTTACTGCGAATGAAGATGAAATCACAGATGTTGATAAAATTGCAGAGGAGGCTGTCTCCTTCTATAAAAATCTCTTTGGTGTCAGTGATCCTGGTGTTCATCCTGATAGAGGTCGGTTGGAGTTATTGGTGCACAACATGCTAGGTGCTCAAGAGGTTTCATTCCTCGCTTCTCCCATCACAGAAGATGAGATTCAGGCTATTGTACTTCACATGAGCCCATACAAAGCACCTGGCCCTGATGGGTTCTCAGCAGGGTTTCATAGAAAGGCTTGGTCAATCATTCGTACTGATGTCCTGGCGGGTGTGATGGACTTCTTTTCCTCAGGGCGTTTACCAGGTAGTGTTAATGCTACTGCTATTTCTCTGTTTCCTAAAATACCTTCAGCTTGTGCTCTCAAAGACTATATACCAATTTCTTGCATTAATATTCTGTATAAGATTATTGCAAAGGTGTTGGCTAACCGTATAAAGAAAGTACTTCCTAAGGTCATTAGTGGTAACCAATCAGCTTTTATTGAGGGGAGGAGAATTGTAGATAACATTTCAATGGCACAAGAGCTTGTCAGGGGTTATCATAGAATGCATTTATCCTCTCGTTGTGCTATCAAAATGGATCTTATGAAGGCCTTCGACTCAGTCAATTGGGCTTATTTGTTTATGATGATGGAGATTATGGGTTTTCCAACTTGTTTCATTAACTGGCTTAAGTTGAC